TGTTCTCTTTCTTTTTTTTTCAGCATGGAATAAACCTATTACTTGTTCCTTTGCAGCCTACACATGCTGACGCAGCTACCCACATGATTTGTTTAGGTCGTACATACAGGTGGTGTACAGAACAGGACTAGAAGAAACAGTTTTGTCTGTTCCCATTTTCATTGTGTTTTAATTGGAGAGGCCTGAGGAGATATGTCCTCAGCTACTCATTTACTCAAGGTGTCAAAAGGAACAGCTTCCTCAAATTGCTAGCTTTATTTTATTTGTATGAGCTTAACAAGCAGAAGTTACATAGTTATATTGTCACAGTCAGGTGCCTCAGCCAGTCGCGGCTGGCATCATCCAAATCGGTGAAGTTGCCGGGGCATCTGAAGCAAGGGCAGGAGTATAGGATGTGGTCGGCCGTCTGCCCCTTGCCATCGCCGCATTCGCAAATTGGGTCATCAGTGAGACCCCGCTTGTGTAGGGTGGCCAGGAAACGACCATGTCCGGTTCTTAGTCGGTTCAGCTTGACCCAGGCTTGTCTGGGTAGGTCATTTCTAGCGGGTTTGTTAGATACTTTGTCAATAAACTGTTTCAGTCTGTGGTTGTTATTATTCCACACATCTTGCCACTTTTTGTTAGTCCAATTGGTGCCATTGTTGTTGTTTGCTTCTTTCATAAGGCACCTCAAAATAGCTAGCTAAAGATGGTTCAAAGAGACCTCTAGAATGTGTAGGTGACAATGTTACCCACGAAGACTGAACTTAAGGCTCTCTGACATAAAGGCTCACCCGCGGCTTGGTTTGTTTTGCAGAATAATGAGATGCTGGAACTGCAGCGGACACGGATGAAAGAGGAAATCCGGGAGTACAAGTTCCGGGAAGCACGCCTCCTGCAGGACTACACAGAGCTGGAGGAGGAGAACATCATGCTCCAGAAACTGGTCTCTACCCTCAAACAGAACCAGGTCAGTCCTCCCTGCCCAGCCTTTGCTCCACACTCACACAGAACCCCCAGAACTCTATCCTCCCTTCCCACATTAGCCCCTTTTTCTGGCAGTGTGGAAAACAGCTGATAATAATAATAATAAAAAATAATAATGTTGCTTTATCAGCCCTATACAACTTCTTGCATTAGGAATTTGTCTTTTCGCATACCCCAGCTTGCTCTCCATGAGACACAGACAGGCAGAGAAGCTTGGGGTCAGAGCACAGAGTCAGCCATTGTACAGTGCCCCTGGAGCAGTTGGGGTTAAGGGCCTTGCTCAGGGGCCTGACAGAGTAGGATTCCTCTGACGGCTGCGGGATTTGAACCTGTAACCTTCCGGTCACAGGCACAGATCCTTAGCCACAGAGCCACCGCTCCGCCCAGTTGATTATAACTGAGGTTGTTAAATTACTCTAATAGTGCTTTACTGTAAAGAAGGCGGCCTACAGATACAATAGAGAGGGTTCATGTTGTTGTTTTGCATATAGGTTGTCAATGAATTAAGGAAACTACTGTAAATTCCTTCTACAGTGAATTGCACAGATTTAAATCTTTTTCCACGGCACCAAAAGCCAATAAGCAAGTTTTGTGGCAGTTAGACAGAAGGTGCTGCAGAGTGCCATTGCGTCACACCTCCTTATTGTCTGTAAGGCTTGAAGTGAACACATAATTTATTTTACTATACTGTATATGTGTGTAATCCTTGAATGTTACTGCAGAGTTGAGTGCTATTCATAAGAGGCAACATGTTAGTGTGACTCTTTCTGTGAAAATAGACTTCCACTATGAAACACATCATTCATTTACAACCTAAGAAGAATAACATACTTGTCTTATCTTACTTGTGTAACCTGGACTAATGGCGACCCTCTGCACCTACTATACAGGCCATTCAAGCAGGTCATCTCTCCTGCTGTAGCAGTGATGAACAACTGCGTTCTGGAGCCCCATGGGCTGGGGTCCAGATTGAGCCAAGAGTTCTTACCAGCTGCTCCATTACAGTGCAAATACTTAATGTTCACCAATTTTCATTCCTCTATTCTCTTTAACTGAGCCACACTGCATTCCAGTCACTGATGTGTTACAAATATGGTGCACGCGAAAAAATATTGTGCCAAATGTTATATAAAACTGTCAAATGTTTCAATAAATATTATGTTATTATTCTTTTAAAAATAATAATTGTTTTCAATAATAATTATGAACATAAAATAGATATTCATTAATGTTTTGGGCTTAACAAATTTCTATTTTATGTCATTTAGTTATGTTGTCATTAGTTGTGTAGTGAAAAGTGGGAAGTTTTAGATTTATGAGGAATGACTCACTTGCATGTACTAAAGCTCTGCCTCTTAGTAAGTCAAAACAGGACTGTTTTTCTATCTCTTTCTCTCTTTGCCCTCAGGTGGAGTACGAAGGCCTCAAGCATGAGATCAAGTGCCTGGAGGAGGAGACGGTCCTGCTGAACAGCCAGCTGGAAGATGCCATCCGCCTGAAGGAGATCGCGGAGAGCCAGCTGGAAGAGGCCCTGGACACGCTGAAGAACGAGCGCGAGCAGAAGAACAGCCTGCGCAAGGAGCTCTCCCAGTACATCAGCATGAGCGACAGCATGTACAACAGCCACCTCAGCATCTCCGTGGACGGGCTCAAGTTCAACGAGGAGGCGAACGGGGCGCCCAACAACGACGAGAAGTGCAACGGCCACGTCCACGGCTCCCTGATGAAGCTCAACGGGGACTACCGCCCGGCCACCGCCAGGAAGGGGGAGGCCCTGAACCCAGTGTCGGACCTCTTCAGCGAGCTCAACCTCTCCGAGATGCAGAAGCTGAAGCAGCAGCTCTTGCAGGTGAGTCCGCAGGGGAACTGTCCAGCTCATTGAAGAAGCACACATGCGCAGCTGCCATGAAGAAACAAGTCGATACACTGGACAATATTGGTATTAAGAAGGGCAGGAAATGAATAACTATGGTCAGAAATGTTTTTACAGTATGGGGCTTGCATTTCTTTCTTTTTGTTCTCTTTTTTCTTTGGGACTTTTAGAATTTTAGAAACCCCAATAATGTCTGTTAATCCCAACAGATTTGGAATAGCCAGCTAGATGTTTTTCATATTTGCAATTTGCAGGTAGAGGGAGAATGACTTAGTGTAGGCACGTTCCCCCCAACTCACCCAGCTTCAAGCCACTTGTCTTTTAGCACGTCGCAGGCAATACAAGCCCATACCAGAATTTCAGCGCTGATTGCCAGTCCTATGCAGACAGCACCACGTCTGAGAGGCCGCAGGAGTTACAGTGTACCCACTCTCTCCTTGGCAGCACTCAGCCAATCATGTGCCACGGCTGGGGGAATCCCTGTCACATTCAACCAGTGACATTATCCAGGCTCGAACCCATGATCAAACAGATTAGCCAGTGCTTGAGTGAGGGCTTTTACCAGTGAAGCCAATCGTGAGGCTCCCTCAGTCGTGCTTATCCTGAACTCCACCTTTGCACTTCAGGAAAGAGCTGCAATATGACACATATATGAAATTATTTCACAAGATGAAGGCTGGTAGTGTTTGATCAAAGTGGAACTGGAAATATTTACTGGCCACCCAGGGGGCTGACCGAAACATTTACTTGAAATTAAGCCTGCCTTTTGATTCTGTCCACACAACATTGTGTCACATTGTGTCACCAATGCTGTATTGGTGAATTATAGTAATGCTGTCAGTCACTAATGTTTGCCTAGATAGGTAAACTAAAAGTTTCCAGTAAACTTAACACCCATGCCTAAATCACATTAGGAAACTAATACATTGATACTTTACCATGCATCCATTCATTTTCTCTTTATCCAGTACATAGTAACGAGGGATGACAGAGCCTAACCCTAAATGCAACGGGCTTAAGGCAGGATACACCCTTGACAATAGTCACAGACACAAACACACACTCACACTCACAACAGGGCCACATTTATGAACTCATATAAACTCTACCCCAGGAACTGAACATGCTAATGCTAATCACTGTGCCCTGTGCTTTCTTAATGGTTTACTATATGTAAAATGCTTGATTTTAGGAACAATAAAAATAAATAAGGGACAAAGAAAGCTAAGATAAAAAATGAGAAATTTATGCCCCAGTGCTGACTCAAGAGAACAAATATCTCTCTGGTACACAACAATACAATGACTCTATAGAGAATCAAGATGTTTATTATGGAGAAAAATTGCACAGTTGAGAAACATCTGATATACCCTATACATTTACAGTTTGCTATTGATCTGCTGTCTGAAGTTAATTTCAGTGGGCTTTGAGACTCTTCCCTACATTTCAGTCAGAGCCCAATGGCTGAGATGAGTGCTTTCTTGATGTCAGTGATCTCTGCTGTTGTTGGGAAGATTTATTTTTTTCCATTCTAGATAATACACCATTGTGTAGAACCTATAAAAAGAAGATAAGCAACAGCAGGTCATCTGCTGTTAAAAAGAGGCTCTGTTTTGAAATATACTGACAAACTGTACTCAAGGTTTTTCTTCATAGTTACTGATCGAGGCTGCAATACTTCCACGGCTCTGTAAATGTTAGTAGACATCTAATCAAGAAAATCACTACCTTTTTCTGCCATGGAGCCAGAGACAAGCATCATTAATATACATCTTTGCATACAATGGTGCTTTGGAGCACATTAAACACTCTCTGACTGAATCCGATTTTAATTTTTCTGGTCTCAAAGGCTGTGAATCTGATTGAAACTTTCTTCCTTCCTCAGGTATAATTAATGGTACAATATTCAAAAAGTTAAAATAATAAAGTGACTGCAAATGTACTGGTTGCGTATGTCTAATGCTGCAACTGCAGCCATTGGCACTTCTTAAATAAATTTAAGTAGAACAAATCCTTGCACTGTACCAAATAAAACTAGTGTTTTATTTAAGTGAAATAGTTTTTTTTTACTTGGGAATATCAGTGAGGACTGAAAGCAATGTTATCAACTCCTGTGGAGTTGATGTATCTTACTTAAGTTTATATTTATACTGTATTAATAACAGTTCTTAATTTATTTGAATCAGTCTCATTAAGCGTAAACATTTCATCCAAATTTTAAATATAAGTCTTTCAAATTATTTTTGCTCTAAGAGAAAGATGATGAAAGTGCTCTAAGTTGATGAAAAATATAGATTCACTGGTGTAGGCTTATAACAGAGTTGCGCATTGAAATTTGATCACAGAAAATAATTATAAAAATATGATATGAAAAAATATGAAGTCACTGATAAAGATATTTTCCATTGTTTTTCATCCCTTCTAAATGATAAGGCATATAACAAAAATAATGAAGAATCGTTTAATAATTCCTGTTATAATATAAAAAACAGTAGTAAAACAGACCATCAATTCCACTTTACCTTTTTTTATTGTGTAATTGAGGCTTTTTCTTTAATTGACCAAGTGAGTTTCATAAAAAGGAACCTACCGTTATCTTGATCCATTGTCTTGTTGTTTTTTAGATTCATTTTAGTCAGGAAGAGATCATAATGTTAGTAAAGTAGACAATGTTAGTAAAGTAGACAATTATCAATCTTTTTAAAGCCAACTCATCAGTCTCCCCACCACATTTCAGCACTACCCACATCTTAGATTACAGCTGTTTAATAGCCCAGGGGTGTTAAATTATTAAGGGTGCAATTATGCTGGTCATTTTGTATTACATCATCTCAGCCTTGCTGTCAGTGCTGGGAACTGGGCTAACAACCTCTCTCAGAACTCTGCCACGACTCTTTAAATTATTTATCATGAAAGGCCAGGTCTTAACACCACTGCCTTTAAAATGCTTTTAAGGGAAAGGCATGTTTTAAATAAATTATTTTTTATCAAATAATTATTTTATTTTTTAAATTAATAATAATTCCTTACACTTATATAGTGGTTTTCTGGACACTCCACTCAAAGTGCTTTACAGGTAATGGGGACTCCCTTCCACCACAGATGTGTAGCCCCACCAGGATGATGCAACGGCAGCCACAGTGCACAAGTACACTCACCACACATTACCTATCAGTGGGGAGGAGAACAGAGAGGTGAAGCCAATTCATAGATGAGGATTATTAGGAGGCTATGATTGGTAAGGACCAATGGGAAACTTGGCCAGGACACCAGGGTTACACCCCTACTCTTTTCGAGAAACACCCTGGGATTTTTAATGACACAAAGAGTCAGGACCTTGGTTTTACATCTCATCTGAAGGACGGCACCTTTTTTTACAGTATAGTCTCTCCATCACTACAGTGAGGGATTAGGACCCACACAGACCTCAGCAACAAGTTTTTCGCAGGAGGTCTCCCATCCAGGTATTGACCAGGCTCACACCTACTGAGCTTCAGTGGGTTGCCAGTTGTGAGTTGCAGGGTAATGTGGCTGCTAGAATAAAGAGTTGAACAGTGTGCAGTATGCCTGTTCTCCCCACGTGCGTGTGGGTTTCCTCCCCTAGTCCAAAGACATAGTGGTAGCTTAATTGGCTTCTGAGAAAATTGGTCCTGGTGTGAATATAAATATATTTGTGTCTGTGTGTGCTCTGCAAGGGACTGGCATCTTGTCCAGGATGAATCCATTTCTTGCTGGATTTGGTTCCCCGCGATACCGTATTGGACAAAGCGGTTAGAAAGTGGATGGGTGGACAGATTTCAAATAAATTGAAAACAAAAGAGAACAGTTAAGGTTTAGCAGATTAGAGGAGTAGGACAGGGGTCTGTACTAGAACTGCTGCTCTTACAAATGTACTTAGTAAACTAATTCAGTTTACTGCAATTAGTTAAAACAAAACAGAGCAATTGAAATTCAAAAAGATACTTGGCAAACGACAAAATAAAAGATATCTGCTGCTCTGGAATCAGTTCCATGAAGAACAACCAGGTGCAATCCAGGGCTTACAGACTGTCCTTCACTGAGCAACTGATCTAAACCTTTTTAAACTTTAGAGGGAAATGATACAAGTATTCAAAAACCTCTTAAACACTTACAAAGTCATCTCGGTGCACTTCTTTAAAATAAAAAATGAATTACAAACCAAAGGACACAAATGGAATTTGCGTGAAAGAGCATTGAGGATTGTGAATTGAGAACAGGGGGCACTTCCTTACTCAAAAAGTTGTGGGAGTGTGGAACAAGCTTCTCAGCCGTGCTGTTGAATCCAATAGCCAAACGTCCTTTAAGAAACATCTGGATGTGATTCTTTGATCAATTAGCTATTAACTACCAAACGTGATAGATGGGCTGAATGGCATCCTCTCATTTTTAATCATTTGTAAAACATTCTTATATTTTTAATAAGCAAACTCAATACGTGATCCAGACAAGATTGTCTAGTGAAGTGGATACAGCATATTGTAACGTAAATGTGCAACCATATTTAGGCTGTGTGAACCAGAGATCATTCAGCAGTACTGTACTGTATGTACAAAATCAAAAACCAAAAAAAAACCAAAATCACCTAGATTTGATTTGAACCAGGAGCTTCCAGGCTCTAGTGTCATATCGTGTACCTCATGCACTTCAAGGCTTTTACCAAATGAGGTTATTTGTTTTTGATTATGAAACACATTGGGGACAAAGCCTAGAGGTGAATCAGTTAATGCTGTCAATGTGCATACTGCTCATTTATACAGTGTTGTTTGCACAAACAGCTTGTACACTGCAGGAGTGTTGTTTTTACATTTCCTTCTATTAGGAAATACAAACAGGAACTGAAGTTATTATATTTTTGTCAGACATGCAAAGTCTTATCTACGATAGGAAATTCACTTTTTTATAAAAATTCCTGTATTACTATAATAGCACAATATGCTACTTATCAGCCTCATTTTATAATCGTTTTTTTTCTTGGGTCTCTTCCAGTGGTTAATCAATATGGTTTAAGTGCCAAAGATGTGACTTACTGGATGACTGATTTCTTCAATGCAATGGCTGAACAAAATCAAAAAGCAATGATCCACAGTTAATTTAAATGAGAGGAATCTGTGCAGCATGTGAGTGTTTGGAGCAGGACATCCAAGGCGAACCAACACTGCTAGTGTCTACTTTAGCATTCAGTTGACTTGCCTACTTTGTCAAGAGCACGAGTAAGACAAATGTTTTTTGGGAAATATAAAAATTGTCTGTAATTTTGATGCCCTGAAGTCAGAAGCAGTGACCCATGTTTGGCCACCATCAGCATAAGTAACCATTACATGTTTGTAGCCTTAAAAAAATGAATAAGTAGATAAATCTTCATGTCCAGTAAAGCTTATAATAGGTGAGTAGGAAAGAACAAAAACTACCACATGCTGTGCTGTGAAATTATCGCTCCATTTGTTCAAATTCAAAACCAAGCAATATTCTCAATTGACTGGAAAAGTGGAACCTGGAAATGAATTTATGAATTTTGAAAAAAAGGAGGAAACACATACAGTATCACTACATACTATTGCGTTTTGTCCTTCAAGGCCTAGGTGAAAATTTAAAGGTTTATGTTTAATCCCCAAAAACATAGTTTTTTTCCTCATAAACCCTCTGTAAAAATACAATATGGAAAGTCATATGAGTTGAAGATAAGAGGTCAGGAAGTGTATTCAAGCACACAAGTTATTGGCCCTATCAGATTGTGAACGTGACTCAGCAGGCTTGACCTATAGCAATTAAAAAGACAAGGAGTGAAACATTTGAGATTTCTACCTACAGTATAAGTGTAAAGTATTCAAAAAATATTCAAACATCTTTAACAATCATACTCATATGTTACTTTTCCCTCCAGAATATATTGACATTGGACAATCATTCACTAGAGTTTCAGCTAACCTAAACTCTCCACACATAGTAATGGACAATGCTTTGTGATTACAGGTGGAACGAGAGAAAGCTATTCTCCTGTCCAGCCTTCAGGACTCCCAGACGCAGCTGGAGCACACCAAGGGAGCACTAACAGAGCAGCACGAGCGAGTACACCGGCTCACGGAACACGTCAATGCCATGAAGGGCCTGCAGAACAATAAAGAGCTGGGCATGGAGGTAGAGACAGAGAAGTCAGCCCAGAACTCAGCCCAGGACAGCCACGACTACGAGGTAGACATCAACGGGCTTGAGATCCTGGAGTGCAAGTACAAGGTGGCTGTCACAGAGGTGATCGACCTCAAGGCTGAGCTGAAGGCCCTGAAGGAGAAGTACAACCAGTGCTTGGAGGGCTACACCGAGGAGAAGTCCAAGTGCGAGAGCAAAGTGCAGGTGCTGGATGAGCAGGTGACCCGGCTGGAGAAATCCAACAAGGAGAGCAGAGAACGGATCACCTGTCTGGAGAGCGAGCTGCAGACGGTGACAGTGATGGCCAATGAGAACCACAACACTCTCAATGCTGCCCAGGACGAGCTGGTGACCTTCAGTGAGGAGCTGGCCCAGCTCTACCACCACGTCTGCCTCTGCAACAACGAGACACCCAACAGGGTGATGCTGGACTACTACCGGCAAAGTAGGGTGACGCGCAGTGGCAGCCTAAAGGGGCCGGACGACCCCAGGGGGCTTCTGTCTCCTCGGCTCGCCCGCCGAGCAGTAGTAGCATCTGCAGAAGCCAGAAGCCCCATAGATCCAGCTCCCAGAGACCCTGCCGAGGCTAGCAAGGAGCAAAATAAAAGCCCTAACCGAACCCCAGTAGTGTCACCCATGATAAATGCCCCGCCCTCCTCTCCAGTTACAGAGTCCAATGACCTCCGCAAGGAGCCCATGAACATTTACAACCTCAACGCTATTATCAGGGACCAGATCAAGCACCTACAGAAAGCTGTTGACCGCTCCCTACAGCTGTCCCGACAGCGGGCTGCTGCCAGAGAGCTGGCCCCCATTATTGACAAGGACAAAGAGGGGCTGATGGAGGAGATTCTCAAACTGAAGTCCCTGCTCAGCACCAAGCGGGAGCAGATAGCCACTCTGCGACTGGTCCTAAAAGCCAACAAACAAGTAAGGGCCTTAAAAAAATCAATTAATAAAACGACTCGGTGCAAACGCAACCTTTCTTACATTTCAATCGTGACACATTCTGGTCAGAAGTAAATATCATTATGGCAGTTCTGTCTTGAAATGTGATTTTCCATTTTCCATTTAAGAACCAAATCTGAACAACATTCATTATGACAGCTGTCACTTTACTTTAAAAAAAAAACAGTAATAACAATAAAGCCATCTGACATACACTATGTGGCCAAGCACTGATGGTATTGTTTCTGATTTCTACACAAGCTGTGTCTGGTGTCTGTTTTTTCTAAGAAAAGAAAAGCCCCAAATTATAGCAATATTCAAGACAGGAGTTTAAGAATTCAGAGATGGACATTTTCAATATTTACAATGTTTACTGTGCAGTACAGTCTACAATAGTATAACTTTTAAATTTGCATGCAATAGTTTCTTTGAACTGTAGTTTTATCATTACAATGCACATGCTTATGCATCATAGGAAATGTTTCTCTGTATGTAATTACAGACACTTGCAATAATGAAATAATGACACTATTTGAAGCAGAAGGAGCTATCATTTTGGTGTCATTTAAAAAGCAGTTAGTTACTGTACATAGGATTCTGAGCTGCTATGGAATAAAAAAGTTCTATGTGATGTATGCATGTGGATTGAGAACTAGTAAATGGGCAGAAACCAGTACAGACAAGGATAAAAGGGGTGACATCCTTATCAGCCTACCACAGGGTTCTGCACCAGTGTTTGCCCTCTTTATTTATATCAAATATATAGATGTATTCTTTATATTAAGTGAACTTGTTATTTGGATATAAATAGGATAAAATAGGAAGTAGAAAATAACATGGGGCACTTGGCAAACACCTTGCAAATGAAATTTAGGCCATTTTAGAAAGGTATTACATGTCAATAATATAATATTGAAAAATTATAAATGATAAATTATTAAAAATAATAAGATCAGCCTGATTATGTTACTGTAGGAATTAATTAGAGTGTAGGAATTAATTAGAGTGTGACATTTTTAAAAATGTAATTAAAAATAAAAGGACTGCTGTCTGTGAGGTTCATGGCTCTCCTCCAATCAGCACTGACTGTCCAATACAGGGCGGTACTGTCTGTGAGGGACAAGCCTCTCCTCACATTGAAGAGGATTTCCTTCATTCACCTCTGAAGTGCTGCAGAGAAGCAGCCTCACTGTAGAACAGAGGGTGAGAAGTGGAAAATTACTTCACTGCTTAAATTAAAGGAGAACTTTAGGTGGGCCAAATGGTACAAGTCCAAAGGGAAATGGAGCCAAAATACTTTCGAAAATGTAGTCAATACTTTTGAAAAGTTAACCCTAAACCCTTTTCATTACAATTAGTGTTCTTTGTTGTTAGTTTCCTGTGCCACATTCTGAAGCATATTTACAGGTAAATGATTTATAAAAGTCAGAAGCCCAGCAAAGACATATTAATTTGACACATTGCTCATGTCAAGCAATACAGTATGTATGATATCACTATTTTGACTATGGCCCAATTGATATGTCAGCTCTCAGGGCAGCTCTCTGACAACGCTTCCACCTTCCCTCACCTGCAAACCCCTCTAGCTGCCTTTCACAAAAATCTTCCCAAAGAAAGTAGAAAATAAATAAGGAAAGCACTATCTTCAATTATATTTGAAACTATAAGTGTTTTCCTTTGCTTTTACCATTATATTGCTGTGGGAATACATTTTGTGTGCATCTGTTCTAACAACATTATCAATGAAGAACATTCTGGTTTGTTCTTCAGTTGGTTTTAGAATCCATTAATAAGGTATTCAAGTTCAACGCCGTTAGTTTTCAGTTTTAGAGCATTCTGGAAAACACTTCGTATTCACTATACACAGTATGTCTCAAAGGCTTAAATGGGAAAAAGAGCCAAATCCCACCTCATTGGACATAGGTGGGACCAAACTGATTAGACTTCAGCGACACCGAAGTGGCAGGAGGTCCCAGACTTTTCTGAACCAGGCTTATCCAGCAGCATAGAACCAGGATATAGTGGTTGCATTACAGAGGTAATTTTTGAATGCTACTGGTCAAATGACAGGCTTAAGGAAAGTCAAAGCAGAGCATTAGCGCTACCTGGTGCCAAAGAGTAGAATTACATGTGGTCACATACTGTATGTAAGTTCCATAAATAGGGACTATTACTGTATATAGTTATGCATTATTCTTTTCTGCTAAGCCAGTTTGTATTATATTCTTTTATAAAGCCAATAAACCTTTATTTGAAGTTATCTTTCCCTTTAGATCCTGATCAATCTTAAAAATGCCCATGTTACAATATTATTTATTAATTTGTAAGGATAATTCAAATCCCAGTTTCACCAAGCTGAACAGTATGCACTGTAAAGTATGAAGAGAATGCATACTGTATGTTTCCTTTTGCATCGTTCATTTTCCAAGATGATGCATGGTGTTATGAACAGTGAATCAGAGTTTCTTGTTATCAGTTCAGATTAAAAGAACATCCTATCCTGGTTCAACCTTTCTTTTACTCTTTTTAGATGCAATTTCTTTTAGTTTGGATAAAAACATCTTCCAAAAATAGTTCAGGTGGGTATCTGTGTCAGCATGCGTAGGCTGCAAAGGAACAAGTAATAGGTTTATACCATGCTGAAAATAAGAAAACACAACGTTTCGGCCGTGAAGCCTTCTTCAGAAAAAAGCCTTCTTCTTTTTTTCAGCATGGTATAAACCTATTACTTGTACCTTCCAAAATGCTATCAATATGATTAATTAATGCTACTCAGCTGTATTGTTATGAATTCACATTACACATTGTTCTACAGACTGCAATAAAGCAAACAAACAGTACTAAACCTTTAAGAAAATAGAGTGGTTAGTGCTATTATGATGTGGTATGAGATGCACACGGTAGTCTTTTAGTGAGACCTTATTTAAAACATCTTTTACAGTTGTGGTCACTATTTAACATAAAAATGACTTTGATGTCCTTGAAATGGTTAAAAAACAAATCTAAGGGATATTCCTATAAGGATGTGGTACATAAAAGATAAATAGAAGTGGATCTCTTCAGTCTTAAGCAGACTACAAAGGAGGCTAATTCAAATATAATAATTATTTGATGCATTCTGTGGCAAATAATAGTGGCAGTAATAATATGCTTTATTTAAAATCCTTTTCAGCACTGTGTAATAAATATGCACAAGATATGTAACAAAAACAAAAAAATTACTTAGTGAAATGACCAATAAAATCAAGATCACAGTGAAGTTTTATGTTAAAAGCTATAGTCGTAAGATACAGTACATCTGTCCAGATGAATTTAAAAAAATGTCCACAGTACCAGAATCTATAATGGATTTGGGCAGTGTACACCACAATCACACAATCAGGGACCTAAACAAGAGAAGACTATTGCTCATTGTGTGGAGCCTGGCCGTAGGTACAGTACGATAAAAACACCTGAATCAGCAGGTCTCAAATTAAGTGTTGTACTATCTATTCGTGGAATACATCCTTATTCATCCTTATACAGTACATAATTATTGTTGAGCAGTTCAGTGCTTTGTATTGTATGTAAGCAGGAGATCCTTAATGTTTTCATCCAAAGTTCCCAAAGTGCTTTACAAATAGGAGATAACCTGCTTCATCCTTCAGCGAAGTGCAGTACCACCTGGGTGACACATGTTAGCCATTATGCATCAGCAACCACGCTCCACAGCTGAACTGGTGGAGGAGTGAGAAATTTAGGTAGAGTCAATTATGCAATCCCAAAAGTGCAATTTTTAATACAGTGCTAAAAGGAAATGGCAATATGTAATCATTGGATTTAAAAAAAGAACACTGAGGAATCAAGTGGTAAGTAACAGGGAGTACAATTAAGAAAAATGCACTTTCTCCTACTCCTTTACACATAATACAGTAGATTTGTGGAAGGCTAAAAGTAATTTACTCATGTGGTTGAAGGCGATTCATTGGATCTTCAGGGAACAATGAATGAAATTTTAAGATCAGGAAAACATAAGCATAATACATAAGGCTTAAATAGGAAAACATAAAACATAATTAAGTTTATAACATAAGCAATTCAGTTTGGCATAAGTATTATAAGTGTTATATTATAAGTGTGGCTACAGCAAAATCTGTCCCTTGAATAATTTTAAATCATTTCAGTAATTTACTTGAATAATGTCTCATGTTCTCAGATTCAGTGGGCTATATGACCAGCGTTCACTTCTAGCAGTTTATATGCTCTTATAATAGTTTCATTTTAAATTTTGCACTTTACAATTCCTGGAATGAGTACCTTATTAAAAGCTGTCTCCTAGTTGGATGATAGGACATGCTTTGGGGAACCCTGCAGTAGTGCAATAATTTAAATCTGTTTTCATGTCTACAACCCTCAGGGACTTACTAAACATAAAATACTAAACATATTTTTTATAATAATATATATTTTTATTTATTTAAATCTGTATAACGGATGCTAGACTATACTGTACGTGTAGCTGAGTGTAGTACTGTATACAGTATATCAAATATTTCATGAGGTACCATAACATCCAAGAATTACATGCTTTGTGCATGTTTGGAATACCTGGTGAAATAGGTTAATCCACTTCATTAATGGGTAGCCTCTCTATAAGAAAAGGAGGTTCCAACCCCATTTGGAAGGGGATTCACAGAGAGTGAACTAAGGGGTAGGTGCAAGGAGGAAATGGGATCTGGATCTTCACCTGCGTCAGACATTTATATTCAATATATAAGGCTAAGTTCCGTAATGATGGTGATTAGGAACATCAGTGTAAGATTCTTGAAATTTATTTGATTCCTACAGTACCAAGGTTTGTAACAGGATAATTCCAAAAGTGGGTTTCAGTTCATTAGTTGAAAGACCACATAATTTAATATAATTTCAATTATATTAAATAATGTATTTCCTAACGTGCCTTCCTAACGTGATCATGATCATGTTAACAAAGCTTTTTCAGAAACATGGCAGTCTAGCACATATTCTGTGTTTTAACCCCTTTTCTTTCAAAAGTATAGCCCACAATGAACAATGAAATACATACAGTACAATAAATTTACAATCAGTTACTCTTTTTAACCTCAGGCCTCAGTGCAGGTGTGAGAAAATATTTGTGTCTTTCATACTGTCAATTTTTTAATTCCAGTGCCTCCAGGCTGGAATACTGTATATATAATTATCTTGTTGAACATCAATTTACTGTTATCCTTTGTTTTATACATATTTTGATTTCTATGTTACTCTGTGGTTTACTGATTTTACTTTGATTTAACACTGCTTTTACCACACTGTAATACAGTATACTTGTAGAAGGGACCAAATTTAATTTCGTGTACAGTATTGTTTTCAATGCTTGAATAACATTGTGTTTTTCTACACCGTAGATGTATCCTAAATGAGCGATAAAAAACATTGAATGCGGTTCTAGTGTCGAGATTATTTATGCTCTTCGATTATTCGTTAGTTAGATTTTTGCCTGCCCAAAGCCTTTTTGAACACCGATTAAGTGAGGTTCTCTTCACAATTTCTTTTTTCCTAAAATAAATAATGAGGAAATTAATGTTTGTTTTCCACTATTGCACAGACAGCTGAGGTTGCTTTGGCAAATCTGAAAAGCAAATATGAGAATGAGAAGTCCATGGTGACAGAGACCATGATGAAACTGCGGAATGAACTGAAGGCACTGAAGGAGGACGCTGCCACCTTCTCTTCCCTGAGGGCCATGTTTGCTACCAGGTGAGGAGTCACAGGACCTCTGAGTGTCCAGGAGAAATTATCTGCAGTGCAAATTCACAGGTAGAACCACCTCAAAGTGCTTTACAAGAGCCGAATTCCAAACACAAACTCTATAATGAACCTTTTCAAGAACACTGTTCACTTGGGTGCCCTGTTGTAACCACAAGAAGCTTATTTTCTTCTTCTTGGCATCTCCTTTCACCTTTTCATTTTAGTACGTTTTAGTTCTTTTTTAGTTCACTTAAATATCTCACAGCTGGCTCACAAATGTATCTTTTGACCAACTGCAAGTGTCACTGTCCCTGAGAGAGAAGTATTGTACAATTATACCACCACAAACCTCCCAGTGCTCAGGAAGTGTCATGAATCACTGTTTCCTAAGTTCACTGGTCCACCCTACTTTGACAGCACTCTGAAATGGGACTGTAGGAAACGAAAACCTATTGGCTGAAGGACTTTCAAGACATCCAAGTACATTGGCTAAAGAATTACTGAGCACTAATGATGCCCTCCATATACACCGGGCATTCTAGTGTTAAAAGTGATTAATTTCAACATCTTCAGACTTCCACAGTTCACTTCACTGGTTGGTTTAAATGGTGCAACAATCTAAAATAACATTTTCCCACATTGTCTCCACACACATTGTGGAGTGTGAAATGGCATTCATCTGTGAAGAATCACTCTCTCCGTCATCAGCTAACAGGTTCTTTGGCAAAACAGAATTTTATCTTGCAGATATGAATGATACCCTGAATGGCCTCTAAGCATGAAGATCATTTTTATCGACGCAGAGCTACGGTCATTGTGCTGACGCATGGGTCTTTGCTGCAGTCTGAAAACAATTATGCAGATAGATGGTCCTGGGCTGAGTGTGATGGCTCTCTGCCTTACGTGGCTTGTCCCATACAAAGCCTGTAGGATGTTTCAATCTCTAGACAAAACATTTCACATAGAAAACCTCATACAGTACATGTTGTTAACAAACCATTCAATCCAAATCAAGCTTTATCGTCCCCTGAGGGAAATTTGTTTTATGGCAGAGTTCTAAACAACAATACAAAAAAAACAGGCAAACAAAGAGTACAGTACAACAGTTGTTTTACATTGTTGAAAGAGAGATTGTAGAGGGAATTAAAGATTTCCTTCCTATTGGTGTTATACCAGGGGGCATCTCCCAGAGTACTGTGAATGAATAATGGAGGGGATGAGCCACTATTGCTCTTAGCCAAGTAGATACCAGTGTGTCTCTGGACTGTGGGAGGAAACTGGAGCTCACGAAGGAAAACCATTGCGCACATGTGCCACCCTAATTGCCTTATGCCATTAAAATGTTAAAAATGTATCTTGATGCTTTGTATTCACAAAAACAGTTTTATTCAATTCATCACCACTGATCTGAGTACCACGGCACCCTCTCACACACCACTTACAGCCCGTAACTTGCAGTTTCCTGTACTGCAAACCTGATGATCACAAGTATTGATGAAGACCAGTGGCCAAAGCTCTTGTGTCTGTGCCTCGCAGGTGCGACGAGTATGTGACGCAGCTGGACGAGATGCAGCGGCAGCTGGCGGCGGCAGAGGACGAAAAGAAGACGCTGAACTCGTTGCTTCGCATGGCCATCCAGCAGAAACTGGCCCTCACTCAGAGGCTGGAAGACCTGGAGTTCGATCACGAGCAGTCCCATCGCACCCGGGGCAAGGTGGCCAAAATCAAGAGCGGCACTCCCAAAGTAAGTCGAAAGGCAGCGGCCGGCACGCCCTTCCCAGCAGCCCACACACCGTCAGCTACAGTAGACAGCCCCAACGCACTCCTAGGCAGTCCACCTTCCCTCGAAGGTACGCCCTCCTGGACAGTAGGTGCCTCGCCGTTTAACATAGGCAACCCGCAGTGGACTTTAGGCACTCAGCACTTTACTGTAGATCCTATGTCGTTCACCACAGACTTGCGGCCACTCACTCCCAACACCACTGACAATAGTCACCTCTCTGAAGTAGAATCCCGGCAATCCTCCATACAATATCGGTCACCTGTGCCACGCACACGGCCGTCTACGCTGGGAACCCCACGACTGGTTATAGACGTGCCCACCTACACCCTTGTAACTCCTCCCACTACTCCTGGCCATCCACTATCCCAAACCCACAACTCCTAACACTGACAGTATAGAGGAGATCTGGGCTGTTGACACTAAGAGGAAGACAAACTGATTTGCTTTGTTTACATGGGGCCTTGTAAAGCAGTATGACCCACATCAGCTTTTTCTAAGACTTTTCCTCAGGGATAAAAACTGAAAGGAGCACATGTTGCCCCTGCCTTCTCATTACACCGCTGACCAGTGGTACTCTCGCCGAAAAAAAAACAAAAACATCTTTGGTTTATATTTGCGGATGTTTGTTTTCTCGGGATAATTCTTTTGAAAAGTGTTTGTTTAGGAGAAGCACTTGTGTGGGCAGTGCTCAGTATTTGTAAGACATATATTGTTTTGTTTTTCTAAAAAAGGGGAAACCAAAGACTTTTGTGTCAATTTACATTCTTTTGAGTGGATTAGCTTCTAGTTTGTGGAAGTCGAGAAGAATTGAAAAAGTCATTTGGCATTTTAGTAGCATGTCAAAGTTGCCTCTATCAAAAACCACAGAAAAGCATGAAGTAGTAGAGTTATCCAATCCAATATTTCTTGCTATAAATTCATAATACAATGACATTGTTTGAATACTGAAAAAAAAATTCTTGAATGAAACAGCCAACTGCTGTTTGGAATTCTTCTTCAAATGTGAGTTAGGACCCAACTTTATAATAGTAGAATAATTGTTTTAACTATTAAACTGAAGTTTTATTTAATCAAGTCAGGCACAACAGATACCGTTGAAATGCTCAAATTACAGTCACAACTGTTTCAGCAAATAGTCAATGTTTCCTACTTATCAACTGCATGCAATTGTGTAGATAGAAAAATATGGCTACATAGTTTTTATAGTCATATTTCCAAAAGGGCAGAAAAGGTGAAACCGTCCTTTTGTCTTCTTAACTATTAAATCACCTATTGAAAACTCAGGGAATTCAACACAAAGACCATTACAACCCCAATACAAGTTCAGTTCTGTGAGTGGGATTTCATCATATCAAGAAAAAAGTGATAAGTTAGTCTTTTTTGCTAAATTTTCTCTTTCTTGTGTAGTTTTCTTTACTATCACTAAGTAAAATAAGAGCTTTCGTATTTCTTAATAAGAGAAATCTTATTTCTTAAACATGTGCTTTGTACCAGATCCAAGTAAAACAGTTTTTGCACATATACTGTACTATGAAGTGCAAGATACATGGTCCTCTAATATACAGTGCTATAAACACCCACAAGTATTGAAATAATGTGTCTATAAGTTTTCTTTCTATTATTCACTTTCTAACAACTGAAAACACAATTTTAGGATATATAGCATATAATTAAAATTAAGTTATGCTATGTTGAAATTGTTTAATGTACTAGAAAGGCCTCATATAATGTAGAATATTGTGTATAATTTTGGTTACCATATTATAGAAAAGGTATTCTGCTCTCGAATCAGTCCAGAAAAGAGCAACCATAGACATTCCAGAGCTAAATGTCAATATTACAAGGGATGCTAATACAAGTATTCAAACTCCTTGAAGTTTCTTTCTTTCAAAGTAGATTTCTTCAGAATGAACAGTGAAATATGAACTAGAGGGCACAAGTAGAAACTACATGGAAATGCATTTAAAAACTAAGACCAGGAAGCACGTCTTTACCTAAAGGGTTCTGAGAGTATGTATCAAGATAGCCAGCCATGTTGTTGAAGTTGATACCATGGCTTTGTTCAATTTTCCATCTCATTTTTTGGGCACAATTAACTTCGCACCATAAATGCTGTTCCAGATATAGAAATGATTTTGACACATAAAACCAGAATGAATATCTATCAAAAGTAAACATGAGGCAAAGTGAACCCCCTTCCTTTTTGTAAACAATTTCCTTCAAATGTATAGAACAGTTTTCCTTTCAGTCATGCATCACAACACCTACAAAGCAAAGATATGAAACTCTGCTTTAAACTTTCCGTACAACATACCGTACTTTGTCTTTAAATCAGTAGCATGTTTTATTAAGTACATGACCCTGTAAGTCTTTATTTACTAAAATATGGTGGTTAATGATCCAGACATTTACAGCCTGTGACTATCTACTGTATCAGCCTATAATATCATAAGTGAAGAAGCTGAGATGTCGCCTTCAGCTTTCCCCCTATGTACTGTATTCCTGTATGTTTGTAAAATGTTATTTCAAAAAATTATTGTGCATTTGTAAATCAAAATAAAGTAGTTCAGAAATGATCATGGGCAGCACAGTGGCGCAGTGGTTAGCATTTCTATCTCACAGTGCTAGGGCCCAGGCTTCGATTCTGAACTTGGGGTGTTATCTGTGTGGAGTTTGTGTGTTCTCGCCATATTCATATGGGTTTTTGCCAGTGTTCTGGTGTCCTCCAATAGTCCAAAGGCATACTGGAAGGTTAATTGGCTTCTAGGAAAACTGGCCCTGGTGTGAGTGTGTGCATGTCTGTGTTTTTAACTGTGTGTGCCCTGTGATGGATTAGTGTATCCTGCATTGTGCCCATTGCTAGTTAGGACAGGCTCCAGCTCCCCACAACCCTGAATTGGGTGAAGAGGTGAGAAAATGGATGGATGGATATGTGATCACATATTAATTGCAAATTAATTAAAATATAAAAAATGTTCACCCCCAAAAAAGAGAATCACAAGTAGAATGATAGCAATTTAATTGGAGAATTATTCAGCTAAAAACATTAAACTGAATTCTCCTGTCAAGATCTGTACAAAAAGTGCATTATCTCACATATTAAAAAACATCCTAACCTTTAAAACAAAGCAGTTTCCCTGCAGGTGCAAAAGAGATTTAAAGGTCAGTTGTGATTTCAGAGCAATAAATAATAACATTCATTCCACAATGAAACTTTAAACATTCCAGGTGAAGATACTTTCTAAATAAAGATACAGTATGTTCCTCTTTATATTGTTAAATAGACACTAATTCTTATGACTTTTGAATAGAATAATTAGTCAAAAACTTGAAAGGACCTTCTTTTAAGTCTGTGTGACACATTCCTGTAAACCTTTGGTTAAATTATCCTTGTTTTATAAGTCTCAACTTTACAGGTCTTGATTATTCTGATAGGGAAATAATACAATCCATCCATTTTCAGTTATGCTTTGAAGGGTCACAGTGAGCCAGACCCTAACCAGCAGTCACAGGGCACAAGGTGGGACTTTGCCAAGGTCTGGATGCCAGTTAATGTATTTAATCAATCAAGCAAGTAACTAACCTGATTGCTTTCACTTGGACCCCAAAATGGTTCACATATAAAACAGGACCTCCTTCATTTCCCACAGCAGGGCAGCACCCAGGTAGGAGTGCACAAGACAGTCGTGAGGTACAAGCCCAGAGTGGAATTTAGACACAATATCCCTACTCTTTCTATATGGGCCAAGGCATCTTAAATGAGCAAGTATCCAAAGTGCCAGTTAAAACATCTCATCCCAAGAACAAGATTTCCAATAGTAGTGTCCCTGAAACCATAGATAAAATTGAAATCATTGTTTGGGTAATTTTCTCTTAAACAGGATTGTATATACAGGTACATGTATTTGTACTATACTGTAAGTCGCATAACAAAAGAACTAAGCTTAATAAGAATTAGGCGATGGTTTCAATTTAGAACATATGTAATATATGATATAATATATGATACTGTACATATTTTATGTGTCAATTAAAATGAGATTTCTAGCCTGATAAAAACAATCTTCTGAACAAGTGTTTACCAGAATTACCAAACATATAAACTTACTGTATGTCTGAAGGAACAAGTAATAATAGGTTTATTCCATGCTGTAAAAAAGAAGAAGAAAAACACAACGTTTCCACGGTCGAAACGTTGTGTTTTCTTTCTTCTTTTTAACAGCATGGAATAAACCCATTACTTGTTCCTTTGCAACCTACGCATGCTGACGCAGCTACCCACCTGTATGTCTGAAGACTTGTGACAAAATCACCTTGTTTTATCATTTGTGTTGCATTAATACACTATGCTGTGCTTTAAAAGTGTAGAACACCTTTTAAATTCTTCCAGAATAACAGAAGGCATCTTTTGCAATAAGATATAACACCCCAATTTGTCAGAGAGTATACTAATAGCCTTATAGTGCAAACTATTTTTTTTTGTTCCACAGAAGTGAACTGAACAAAATCTCCTCTGGACTTGGGCTTTTTTTTGTTCTATGGGAAAGGGTTTTAGAAAAGTAATTAACAGTGTTTCTGGAATTTCTACAGGCCAAACAGCTGATATTAGAAGACCTTGAAAAATACTCTGCGGAGAATCTTAACAAACTGCTGTGTGAGTTGTAACCCAAAACTTGGCTTCCAAACCTTTTGCACTTGCTTTTGGAAGAGCTTTTTGACACAATTGTTTTTTGAGTTAGTAGAAGGTAAAACTATTTAATAGTAAGAATGAAACAGCCTACTGGACATATAGAGGTCTATACAGTCCTGATATCATGGGTCAGTCACTGAAATAGGTCTGGTTTACATATCCTGAATAGATCATTTCCTTGAGGATCCTTGCTTTGTCCCTATTACTGTTCCATCCTGTATGTACTGTATTTTATGGTAATAGGATTTGGAAACTTTGTTTTATGCTTCCC